GAGAGAGAGAGAGAGAGACCGAGCACTGGGGTTTAAACTTGGGTCTCTTTGTCTTTAAAACCTTCACACATTTTCTACACACTGTCTCATGTGACAAAGTCCAGAGCCTCGGGTATAGACAGTGTCAGGTCTCTTATCTATAGCACTGTTGCCTTCATTCCAGTCCGGAGTCGCTATAAGGATGAGGTTCCTCCTCAGGTCAGTGTCTGAGCCATTTGTGAAAGGCTGTCCCTCACATTAGTGACCATGGAACTTTCCTTTCATCCATCAATCTGGAGGTCCATATTTAACTTCAGTGACCTTCATTGACCACTGTGTCTCCCATTATGAATTGACATCCAAAGACCCAGACATGCAGCTTTGAAGGGACCTTTTGTCTCTACCCCAAATCTCCCTACTTGAGGGACTCTACAATTAGACCTGGGACAGGGGCCCTGGCCTTCCAGAAGGGGAGGTAAAGTATATGTTCATACAAAAGGTGAGAGAGCTCACAGGGTCCTAGAACTCGGGGGCTGAATAGAGCCGCCACTAACAAGGAAGTTAGGACAGACTTTCAACATTCTTGAGACCCATGAGTCAAGCTTCCCAACTTCCTCTGGGGAAGATGGAAGTCAACAGGGCAAGACAAGAAGCTTTGCCCCGATCCTGGTGTCATTAATTTCCCCTGTGTGCCGGGGAGGCTAGTAAGGGGAGCCCTGGTTGCATCATACTGTGTGGGCACAAGGCATCTTTGACCTGTGGCCTTGATATGGAGACCAGAGGCCTTTGAGAGACCCTTTGATCTTAAGTGAATGGTGGAGGTCAGTACTGAGCAACAATAGGGGCTGGTTAAAGAGGGGGAACAAGGCCCAAGCCCGGAAAGCAGAGGGGAAGGTGGTGGAGGGAAACAAACAAAATGCTTCCCAGACAGGCAGAGGATGAACATGGCAGGTCTGGAGACCCAGCTGGGCCTGCAAAGTGGGGTTCAGTGAAAGGGAGCAGTGAGCAAGGAGTTAACATCTCAGATTCCCTTTATTTCTAATCATGGCAGGACATTGGGAGTGGGTCCCCTGGAAGGCCAGGGATGAGTGTGACAATGGCAGCTTGTCTCCTCACTCCTCTCCCATGGAAGCCCCAAGTTCCCCAGCCATACCCAGTTGCTGACTCACACTGTGGCTTACAAGGCATTTGTCACTGTCCCCTGCTAGGTGTCTGCCTCCAAGGAACATAGGATGGAGCTGCATTCACTCCTTTCCCTCCTTCAACTTGATAGGCAGAGGAGGCTCAGAGGTGAAGCCAGGGAAGATGTTTGGGGCCTGGGTATGTGTTGGAAGGAATGGCTGTGTTTTTCTGCCATGGACCAAGAGCAAAGCATATTACAGGTTGAAGGTCATGGGAGGCTAAGGGGTGCCCTGGGCCAGGGGAGGTGGGTGGAGCTGACTTTGCTGAGATGAAACTGGTTTCATGCCTGAGGCTTCAGGGCTTTTGACAGTCATCCATCATCCTTAAGGGTCTATGGAGGCCACTCCCTGCTGCCTTTAGCCAGGACTACTCAACACCCAGCTGGCCCCGCATACCCTACACTCCATCACCCCCACCTCTATTCAACTTCTTTCTAGAGACTGTGAAAGGAGCAGTTCAGGAAGTTGATGGTGGTGGGACAGGAGTGGGGCAGGGCTAGTGGCTTTTCAAAAGACAGTATTAGAATATTCTGAGTGTTCCATTTTGCTAGAGTGAAGGGCTTCCAAGAAAGGGAATAGATGTGTCATAACGATGAAGCATCAGGACCTAGACAGTGTCACAGCACTCAGCTGAGTGTGGTCAAATGCAGGAGGGTACAATGAGGAGAGGGCAGGACAGAGCCTAGAAGGGACACTGAGCCTGCTCAGAGAGTCCACTGAGGAATGAGAGGCTATGCATCCCCAGGACTTATTTACATCTGGGCTTTCAAAGCCCCCTCTGGTGGAGACTGGGGAGCTGGATTAGAAGATTCTAGAAAGAAAAAGAGACAGGATGAAGACTTACCAGAAGATTAAAATGCAGTTTGAAAGTTTAGCTATTCTCTCCTTCCCCTCCACCATAATCTTGGGGCCTTCAGGGTCCTGCCCTGGCCTCCAAGATCACTGCCCAGAGCAACAGCTGAGGCTGATCCACAGGTCTCAGGTTTGGGTGCTTGGACTGGATATGTTTATTTACAGGTGTGGCTAGGAGTCCTGAGGTGGCTTAGCATGTTGACTTCACCTCCCAGGAGGCAGGAAGACTGTCCTGGAATAACCCCCAGAAGGCCCAGACTAGCAGGGTATCTGGGACTTGACATCACCCCGATATGACTGTTTCAAATCATCTCCCAGCCCCTTCCCAAGGCCGAACTCCTCCAGAGGCTCTGGAATCAGCAGGGAGTCATCGAGGCAGCTCTTTCTGTTTGTCTGTCTGTGAGCCACCTCACCTCATGAGGAGCTCTCTCCTTTCCTCATTTCAGGATGTCAGCTCCACAGGATTCCCGCCTGAATGGACACAGCGCCCAACCAAGCAGACACTGCTGTGTGGTGCTCTGGGGCTTGGGCATTTTCCAGCCACTTTAACACATGTCTAATTAAAGCTCCCAGGGTGCTCTGGCAACCACATCTTTGATCCCTTTACCAAAAGCAACTCTTTGGAAGTAATATTTTTAAATTCTTAATTTGCAAACCCAGAGCAGTCACTCATGTTTACTATTTAATAATTAATATCTGTGCAATTTTTGCTTAGTGCAGAGTGATCAATATTTATCAAGTGGCCTGGAATCTATCCACAAGCCCTCACTGATGAGGAGTCACTGCTCACAAGGCCAGAGGAAGCCTGGAGCCCCTTAAATGATTAAAGCCTTGTGCTTGAGCTAAGGACATGACTCAGTCAGTAAAGTGCTTGCCTTGCAAACACAAAGACCTGAATTTGATCCTCTGTACCCACATAAAGAAACAAACCAACCAACAAAAAATGGGTATGGTGGTGCACACTTGTAATCCCAGAGCCGAGGAGGCAGAGACAGGTGGATCCCTGGAGTTCAGTGGCCAGCCAGCCTAACTGAATCTATAAGCTACAAGTTCAGAGAGAAAGACCCTGTGTTTTTGACCCCTGACCTCTACATATGAATGTATATATGTGCACAAACACACACACACACACATTAGTTTGGGCTAATTTTCTTGCAGAATGTTTTAATCTGCAAATTACATAGGGACCTGACCAACTAGAATGTTCTGCAGTGGCTGAGCTGGAAGGAACTATATCTGGGTGCATTTAGAATTTCTTTTCTGGTTTCATAGTATGTATTATTTATTCTCTGAGGACCACATTTAAACTCCACAGATACTCTGAATTAATTTTAAAATAATCTAGTGTGATTCTCCTAGCTTCTACAAGAAAAAGACAGTTATTTGCATATCTCAGCATTCCATCTCATACCCTGATTTTCTATTTAACAATAGAATGCCTCTCCTCTAACCTCTGCAAGCTATTCTGAATTTCCAATGCTTCCGGCCGAACTGGGACAGTGTTAGATACTGACATCCCAAAGCCATGTTTGATGAAAACATCTCCTGGCAACACTGATGTACAGGGCTCTGATGAGCAATTTTCTGATGATGAACATTCTTTCTTTCAGTCATTCATCAAACATTTATTGAGCACCGGGGTTTGGCAGGAGGGAAACAGATATGAATCAGACACGGCCTCTGCCTTCAAGGAGTTCATGGGCATGTAAACACACAACAAAACAGGATGAATAGAGCAGAAACAGAGGGCTGTGTAGTGCTCTGGGAGTCTGGGGTGATACACTCTGCATGCGAAAGTCAAGGATGGATTCATGTGCATGGTTTGTTTGATCTGAATCTTGAAAGGCACAGAGACAGTTCCTAGACACAGGGAGGGGGAAAAAATATCCCAAGTAGAAGTTTTGTCTGGGCAAAGGCACCAAAGGACAGAACATTTTTGAGGAAGATGAATCTGCTGTTCAGTGTGGGTAGAATGTAGAGACATACAACAGAGCATGAGGGAGATAGAACTCAAGAGTCAGATGGAAGCAGATGGAAAGGTTGGTAAAGCTACACCCAAGTTTGGGCTTTACCTTAAAAGCAAATGGGGAGGGGGTGAGGAGGCTCTTAAACTGTAGATTTCTGTTTTGATCTGTTTTTGTTAGTAAAATAAAATTCTCAAAGCTGGTTTCTTATAAAGTAAAAACATTTGTTTATCTCAGGAACAGATTTCTGCTTGAGATGGAAAACCAGAGCGTGACTGGAGGTTAGTTCTTGTGCGAACAAAGAGGAGGTTCCACAGAGCTACCTTAATCCCTTCAGAGGACAAGACTTTCAGTGACTTTCTTTTCTTTTGCTGTGATAAAACACCATGACCAAGGCAACTTATAGAAGAAAGATTTTATTTGCCCTATGGTTCCAGAGGGAAATGAGTCCCTCATGGTGGGGAGGCAGCAGGAGGCAGCCAGAGCAGGAAACAGAGCACTCACAGCTTTAGGAAACAGAAAGAAGTTGGAAATGGAGCACAGCTCTCTCAAAACCCACCCCCAGTGACACTCAAAACCCGCCTCCAATGACTTCCTCCAGTAAGGCCCCATCTCCTAAACCTCCTCAAACAGCACCACCAATGGGAGCCAGGTGTTCAGATACTTGGA